TCCAGAAGGCTACATGAATTCTAATGAGATGATTTTTTGGATAGAAAATATTTGGAACTGTCGTGCTCCCTTGTCTGATTATATCCAACACATTATTTTTTATTTTGTATTACTGTATTATAATTCTGAAAGTTTTTAATCCCACAAATTATTATAGTCAGCTACTTCATCATCATAATATGTATCTACTTCATCATTGAAATATGTATCTTTTTCATTCACATTAAATTGCTCATCAGAGTGACTTAAATTATTAATATTACTTTCATTCCAACCTTCATTCCAATCTTTATTCAGATATTCGCTTCTATTTTCATTCCAATCTTCATTTGGATATTCACTTCTATCTTTATTCCAATCATCATTTCGACCTTCATTCTCATCATTTTCATTCCAACCATTTTTAATATCATCATTCCAACCATTTTTCTTATTTTTATTCCAATTATCTTTATTCTCAGCTTCATTTGAACTGTTTCTGTTTCTGCTATCTTCACCTTCATATAAATTGTCACCACCGTCTAATAAATCATAATTATAAAATTTATAAAAATGGTTAACATATTTCATTTTCAATAAACAAACCATATTTCCTAATTATTCTTTACTATTATTATTTATATTTGCATCATCGTTTTGAGTTAAATCAATAATACTTTTATTATCATCAAAATTATCCACATTAGTATACACAAAATTACTTCTTTTATTTAAGCTTCTGGGTCATTTACCCACTCATAATTGAATATGACATCCTCTTTAGAACCGTCTTGAGAGGTAAAAATGCTGCAACACTTAAATGATCATTTAATAAGAGCAGTATCAACTTGATCCCACGCTCTTTTTATCCACTCAGCTACTACATTATAGGCAGGACGCCGAATATGACTAGTAGGTGTTAATTTCTTAACTTCTTCTCCCATCTAATCAAGATAATATTTGCAATACTTAATTTTATTGTATAATTATTGTGTAATTATTGTGTAATTATGATGTAATTATTGCATAATTGTGTAATAAA